ATTTTTCAAAAATTGACCTAAAATACAATAATTCATGTGAAAATACTTTTTTTAGATACTTTTGATCAAATGTTCACGACATTTTCATGTAAAATTTAATCACATTTAAAATAGAAACGAATTTTTAAAAATGCCCCTAGAAACCAGAAAGTCACATGCCATAAATTTTACGATAAGCAAGTATGCTAAATTAATTTTTTTGGCTGATTCTTAATTAATATAATAAAAAATAAGAATGAGCCTGTATAGTGTTTGTAGTTTAAATTTAAAATTATTCCTTTAAAAAGCTTGAAAGGTTCAATGCAAAAATAACACAAAATATTCAGTTAATCTGCAGCTGCCTAAGTACAGGAGCCAATAAACAATACATCCAATAAAGATGGAAATTCTCAACGGGAACCAATAAAAAATGTAGCACCTGGGTCATCAGTTTTGCATGAAATTCTACCCGGCATTATTTTTTTTAATGGGACCCACTTTTGGCATGGGGTCGGCGGATCTTGTTGAAAATTGGTAGTTTGGTTGCCCTTAGGTTGTAGACAAATAGTTTAGAAGGATTTTTGAAAATTCTCAAAATTGCCTATTTTACAGGGGCTCAAAGTTGGGGATTTTTAAAAAAGGTGTTTTCGAAAATCAAAAATATCTCAGCTCCTGCTGCAGATAGCGCATGTGTGTATATAAACAAAGTTGTAGGAAATTAGACGCCCTACAACTTTGCCATAGTAACCAAGGTCATAGGTCAAAGTTCAGGGTCAACTTTTTAAGCTTGAATTTTTTGATGCGCCACCAAAGTACCTAGTACATAAAAATTTTTGATTCCATTATAGCCAAAAGTTGCTCTAGTTGGTAGTCAACAACATATTAAAAATTGGCGAGACTGTTTTTTTCCGTTTTCGAGATATTTTAGGTCAAAAGCAGAAAAACGTGGTTTTCCGAGCATTTTCCTACACAAATCAACATTTAACCGCCCGTAACTTTTTTCCTGCTAAAGTTACGCAAAAATGTATAATGACAAAAAATAATTGCCTTGACCTGTTCTTTCAAACCATGTATCGCACATAGTGACCAGGTCACAAAAGGTCATTGACCTCGGTGACCTGTGACCTTGCAAGTGCAAACCTGAATTTCAGATACTCTAATGTTTCTTTTCATTGAGGTGAAACATTTCCAGCAAATATTTTTGGAAAGGTCACAGGTCACCGAGGTCAATGACCTTTTGTGACCTGGTCACTATGTGCGATACATGGTTTGAAAGAACAGGTCAAGGCAATCATTTTTTGTCATTATACATTTTTGCGTAACTTTAGCAGGAAAAAAGTTACGGGCGGTTAAATGTTGATTTGTGTAGGAAAATGCTCGGAAAACCACGTTTTTCTGCTTTTGACCTAAAATATCTCGAAAACGGAAAAAAACAGTCTCGCCAATTTTTAATATGTTGTTGACTACCAACTAGAGCAACTTTTGGCTATAATGGAATCAAAAATTTTTATGTACTAGGTACTTTGGTGGCGCATCAAAAAATTCAAGCTTAAAAAGTTGACCCTGAACTTTGACCTATGACCTTGGTTACTATGGCAAAGTTGTAGGGCGTCTAATTTCCTACAACTTTGTTTATATACACACATGCGCTATCTGCAGCAGGAGCTGAGATATTTTTGATTTTCGAAAACACCTTTTTTAAAAATCCCCAACTTTGAGCCCCTGTAAAATAGGCAATTTTGAGAATTTTCAAAAATCCTTCTAAACTATTTGTCTACACCCTAAGGGCAACCAAACTACCAATTTTCAACAAGATCCGCCGACCCCATGCCAAAAGTGGGTCCCATTAAAAAAAATAATGCCACCCGTGAGTGCAATTTGTTTCACTTTCTAAAGGCATGTTAAACACCATTCTCTCTTTTTTGAGACTTTAAAATTCGATACAAAGAAACTAATTTTTTTTAAAAATCATAAAAATTAAGTTAAACGGAAATAACTATAAACTGACATTAGACTATAAAATTGAAGAAAATCTGCCTAAAATTTATCCATCTCGTGCAAACTGAGGAAGTCTGTTAATTTTTGTTGAAGGCCTTATGTACCTTTGCGAGCAAGAGAAAATTCTCTCGTGAAAATTTCGCGGAGATGAATGAAGCGGGCCGAGAACAATGACGCGCGGCAAATTGAAATGAAGGAAGCCGCGGCGATGAATTATTTTGACGAGAGCGAAACGAGCGCTTAGGATTCCAATGACGTAAATGCTCTTGACATATTTAAGTCATAAACCTTTAATACTATTATTAAGTAAGGAAGAATTTGCAGCCGCAGAAAAGCTGGCTGAATCTAAAAAAAATGTTATATGAATGAAAAATTACTGTACGCTGGATGACAAAAGTGGCACAACGAGAGATATTATTAACGGTCTTTAACAGCAGCTCAAATATTGAATTTAATAATTTAGCCGCAGTGCACTCATTTTATGCAAACTTGCAGCACAATGCACGCTCCACTCTAATTAGTTCCTTTTCCTTCAGCACTTTTTCCCGTCGACTTTATTATTAACTTCATTTTCTGTATGTACGTTGGAAGATTTTTCAAAATAATGAGTACTGCAATACAAGACTGAAAATAAAAAGAGAAATCGATAAATCATACGTATTGTGATTTTTATCTCTAGAATTGTTATTAAGTGGTTTCAAAAATGTTTCTGACATTTTATTTTGATGGAATAAAATTTCTTAGTATTTCTGTTACTTTTTAGACTTTAGTATAGCTGGAGAAGATAAATGTAAATTTTTCGACCAGGTTATGTCCGTTCGCTCTCCCTTCTTGAAACAAAGTTGTCGCTAAAATTCCTGAAATCTTGTTTGAAAATTTAATCCACTGTTACTGCTAGTTTTGATCCAACAAAAAAGTTAATAGTTGATGAAGAAAATGCGAGTTTCGAGTGTCAGGAAGATTAAATAGAAGCGCGCAATTGCGCTATTAATTAACAAGCCTTGCTGCTCAAATTAAAAGTTTCTGAGATACACAAGTTTCAAGTGTGTGCTGGAAAATCCTTTCTGAAATCTCGTCGCCGGGCAGAAGAGTTGGGAAAAGGCGCACCGCCGAGATCCATCCTTCAAAAGTGCGGATCGATTGTTGAAGGGTGGAAAAAAGGCGACGAGAGCAATAATGCAAAAGTTAGCGCAAAACTCGTTGAGAGGAGAACGGGTGGGCGAGCGAGCGAGAGCAGGCAGCTTTTTCATTGACGGCTGCATCCGCAATTAATCTGTGCAAATGCGAGAGAGAGAGAGAGCGAGAGAGATGGCCCGCTCATCTCGCTCCAATCAAAGTGCCCGAGATATAATTCAATCGTGCGCGGTCAGTGCGAAAATTGCAAATTTGCATACATCGGTGTTACAAATCGGGTCGCGTCGAACTCGGCAGCCGATGTCTCCAACTTGTCACATTATGCGCGTCCGAAAAGTTTTCGCACTCATCGCCGACAATTTATCACTTTATCTTTCGCCGACTTTATTTTTACTGCGATAATAAATTGCTACTTCCACCCTCTTCGTACAGTCGTCCTAACGACATTATTTGCTCAATCCAGCTGATTAGAAAATCAAACGTAAAAAGTGCAAAGTAAAATTTATGTCAGTGTTTATAGCGTAAATTAATCATTTTGTAGCTAACATTTATAAAAACTCTCGATTGCTTGTGATTGTCATTAAAACATGCGAAATAATGTGTTTTGCTGACAGGGTGTGTTTTTGAAGAGAGGCATCCCAATTAAACTTGGTGTTGTCACTTCTTCTGCTTTTAGATACTTCAATGTTTTTGCTCACGTTATAGGGCTTCCATGATACAATTTCATGTCAGTGTAATTTGAATTATTTGGAGGAGTTCGCAGAAGACAATACCTGCACGAGTTTGATGTCAACTTTTGAATAAAAAAAAATGATGTTGAATTTAAAGTACTTTAAGTCCTTTTAAAACTTCAGTTTTATACAAAATTTCATCAAAATTTAAATAATAGAAAGGTGAAAACTATAAAATCAAATTTAAACTGAAAAATAAGAAATTCGCTCTTAAAATCATATCTCTCTCCAGGCCATTGAGTGGCCATATTTGTGATTATTTATTCATTTTGAATGACGCTCAGAGGTCAAAATTTTTATTTCAAAAGGTTTTTTATATGATGTAAACGGCATATTTTTTTATGTGTATGAGATTGTGTATGTGAATTTTGAATTTTGTAGTGGTTCAAACATTGTACATTGACATTTTTATATGTTCAATTCAAGTTTAATTTCGCATATTATCAGTTTGGAAAAAAAAGATCGGTATAATCATTTTTGCGGGCTACAAACTCCCAGTAAAATAATATGAAATTGACGGAACTCAAATTTAACAATGAGAATGTTAAAATTGAAGGAGATTAAGGTTTTTTGCGGATCACTCTTGTAAGAACTCATCCTGCATAATCTTGTTTACAAGTAAATATAGAATCTGATTTGAGATCATTTTTCATTCGCGAGATAAAATAAAGTTTTGGACAAATAGTTCCTTCTTATTGTTAAAACAAGAATAACCCTTGATGAGAAAAAAATAAAAGTGAAGTTTCTATGCAAAATATTAAGAATATTTTAGACTAAAGCATATTAAAGTTTAAATAAATAAAAATGACTGTTAAAGCTATAAGCATATTTTTCGGCTCATTGCTTTTTGCCTAGAAACAATGATGTAATAGGATTATTAAAGCGTTTTAATACTTATACAAGATTATCCAGTGGAAAGCAATGCTTCGCTCCATTGCTTAAATCTCCAATCAGTGCAGTTTTTGAACGTTAAAAAATCATTAATTATGCAAATCTTATCTACTTTTTCTACCGCAACTAATTTGAAATTCTTTTCCATAATAAATCTCCCAGAAGAAAAGAAATAAAATTTAATTTATTTTCTAAACACGGAAAGACTGCGGAGAAGTGCGAGGAAAAAAATGAAAATTGGTTATATAAATCATAAAGATTTCCTACCTGAGATGCTGGTTGAGTGTCACATGACTGCGCTCACGACATGGTCCCGTCCGCGGATGGAGAACAGGTGGCGACAGACTGAAGGGAGGCATCTGCGTCCGTCCGGATGCCTCGCGCCACCCGGGGAGGCGCCACCAACAGCGCCGTCGACCAACTATGTCTCCCACTAGAGGCCACTTTTTTCGGCATCGCGTGCATCTGGAATTGGTAGACAAAAGCAATTCTACTTTTAGGCAAACATTTCTCATTGTAAGAAACATAATCACTTTTATACATGCCTTTAATTTCTCCCGCAGTGTTATTTAGAAAATTTATTTCACTATAATGTACAAAACTTGTATGCAAATTTTATTGATAAAAATTTTTCAAATAGATAATGTGAAGCTTATTAAAAAAAATGATAAAATGAAGTTTAATAATATGCAAAATAAAAAATTAGATCAGCTAATTTCTGATTATGTATCAAATATTCAACAAAGGTGATAAATTTTTTTAGGAAATTTAAATCTAGTTTTTTTTTAAGCAAAATTTCTTTCTCTTTCAAACTAGAATTTTTTATGAAAATTTGTGATATTTAGTTTTTATTGGTACATAGTTAGTTCCAAAATGATAATAAAAGTAGATTTAAATAATAATTGACAATTATAAAATTAATAATTTTTATTTTTATTAAACGGATAATACTTTCCGAAAAAAATCCATTATTATTTGAAAGTAAAAGATTGACGGTCTTCACGAGTAAGCCTAATTAAATATTTTAAGATCTTTTAAATTTTGAGCAATTTGGTAGGAATAATTCGCGCCAATTCGCGGTTGCTGAATAAACCATCAAAGCGCTTCTTCTTGTTTCTCTGTCCGTACACTCGGGTCACGAGAAAATTATTCCCAGAGCAGAGGCAGCTCAAAATTTGCGTGCACACGTCTCGGGGATTAATTTTCTAGCAGCACAAACGTATACGTATATGTTTTGGATTGTACATGCCGGTGCTCATTGGAACTGCTGGCTGCTGAGAATTCCGAGAGACAAGTATTAAGTTTTAATTCCTCATTTGTGCTCGCGCGCGCGAATCGATTTGCGGCTGCAGTGCGTCGAGATAAACATTATTCGTGATCAGCCGAGTGCATTAACCGGATCAAGACGACGAACACACCTGGAATAATTAATCAGCCTTCGTCGTCCTCCTCAGCCTCTTTGGCCGCCCGAATTTGTGGCCGCGCTACTAATTCCTCGCCGCTCCGCTCTGAACACCCCACTGCCCTCGAATACTTATATATGCATGCATAAAGCTCGTGCAAAAATATCCAAATTGTAATTCAGCGCCGGCGACACGGGTGGAATGTTTTGCCAGCGCCGCCTGCTTGAGTGAGAAAGGTGACAGGTCCATAAACAAAACCGGGCAGGTGGATACTCTGTGTTTTGCGGATTTAGGAATGAGGAAATTTGCAATAAAAATACATTTAAAATTTTGACTGAAAACTCTTTAACAGACTAGAAAATTCTAGAGATGGTTTTTAGAGGTCATAAAAAGAAGAAAAATGTCTTATTTCCTAAGTATTAAATTTATTTAATTATTTATTTTTATTCTGGTTTTTATCGTCAGCTGCTTTTTTATTTCAAAAGAATAAAAATCGTATTTAAAGCAGCGTTGGAAAATTTTATCAGATATTGTACCATAATTATTTAACAATTCAGAACTGCGAGACAGGTAGTTTTTAATGATTTTTAATTCTGTTTCAGTTGATACGAAACAGTGAAATATTAATTTTGTTGATTAATTAGATGAATACCAATTAAAAATTTTAGTCTTACAAATTGTGGCCATCAGTCAATTGAATTTCTTAAAGCCAATAAAAAAATTACAAATCTGTTTTTATAGATATTTATGCAAAATTTGTGCTCCTTTGATCCTTTTGATAGCAAAATAATGTTTATTGAGTTAACTAGAGATAACTGTGCCCCACACAGAACTAATCCAGACATAAGTGAAAGTAAAAGAGAATGATCACATTAATAATTCTAAAAGAATTGCTGATTCAGCATGAAGCGAAATTGGTTGAAATTCTCATTCAGGCACAAATTAACTGATAAGGCACTTCATAATCTATAAAATTTAACTTGAAAACAGTTATCGGGAACCTTAAAACTATCAAATGGAGGTAGTAGTTCCATTTCTCAATCTAATTAATTATTGCATTTTATCATTAGTATGTAAATTGAATGGTAACACTCGAGGTAGATTTCATGAAAAACTTAAACCGGGCGAACATCGTTGCAAAGAAAAAATCATTTTCTCTTTGCAACGAGGTTCGCCCGGTTTCAATTTTTCATCATTAGTATCTGTTTCAATTTAACAAAGGAGAAATTTTTCAAGGGCTTGGCAAATATTCTCGTTTTTAATATAAAGAAATTTCATTACTCGGTGAGAAAGCAAACTGGCGCCTTCCACAGATAGGCCGCGTATGTTGCCAGAAGGTAGACGTTCTCGCATCAAAATATTCAAGTATGCAATTCTTTCAGCTTGGGTGTCGCGCGGGTTGCCGACAGTTCTTCATTAAGGAGATTGCGCGCCGTTGTTTGCCTTTTGAAACGCGCTAAATTGCTTTTGATTCCGATCTTTATGAATTCCGCGCATGTATATCTCTCTTTGCTCAGCAGCTAGTCTGCTAGCTGCTCTCGTTTTCTCAGAAAAATTGACCAAAATAGAACATCAAACAGGCGCACTTCGCATATACAGAGATTGCTTAAGCTCCAATACTTGCGCAATTCTATACACGTCACTTCAGGTAATGGGTTCATAAAAATTGGAATTCAGATCAAAGACTTTTGAAATATCTTTATTTACAATCAATCAATAACAACGATGAAAAGTCTCGCAGCAGATTTTATAGAAAATATATAATCAAGTTTGAAAATAAATCGATTTAGATTATAATCGAATCTCATTCACAATCTTGTACTTTATGATTACATTTGACAACCGCTCAATGGAATAATGTTCTCGCCGAAGAAAGAGAGATGGGGATCTCACAAAGATCGTTTCATTTGGCATGCAGAATATCAATTGGAAAGGAATATAATAGAGAGAGGAAAAAACTGTTGCTCTCTGCTGTGTGAGGGAAGAGCTGCTTCAATAAATTTGAAAAATGGGCCTGCTTTTTGCAACAAAGAGCACCTGGTGATAAGTCTGGCCGTGATTTATACCCTCAGGTCGTTAGCCGTGCGAAATACATGAAATATGGGGCCCGTTCAGACCCCATTACAATGCACATTAGACCTTTTATCTGCCGGCTCTGGGTGGCGGCGGCGCGGCAAAAAGTGAGAGTATTGCTCTGCTCAATGCACACATCTGTTCCTCTCTTTCTCCTTAAGTCTGCAGCACGCACTTATCTGCTTTGGTCCGTTTCCTCCGCGTGTCGCACCTGCAAGACGGAAAAGAGAAGAAAAAACGCCAAGTTAGAAAAGATTTGTTTGGCTTCAACCTTCCTTCAACTAGAAAGAAAATGCTCCATCACGCGTCATTTGTCCGTCATTTTTCGCACCGTATTTCATCCAAAGGTTGCGTTAAAAAATATTAAGATATAGAAAATAAAGATTTATGGCTTTATAAGGAAAATAAAAAAATAAAAATTGCTTTAGTAAATTTAATTTTTAACCAAAAAATGTGAAGACTTAAAATTTTTACCGATTCTTACAAAAAAAGTTATAATCTCATTTGCAACTTGATTCTGTTAATGCAATTGAAGTGTTTATAGTGGCATTATTTTCTCTAATGAGGCTTCAGAATAAATATCTACAGAAAAATAAACTATGACTTAAATTAAAAATAAATTGTGATTTGGTAGTAAATTATTTGCGAAGAGCGATTTAGCCAAGTCAAAATAAAATCCTATAATTCCACAATCATGTCTCCACATAATTTTTGTGCACATTTTGTTCTGCTCAAACAACTCTATATTAAGAGGAAAAACTATTACGATTTGCTTGGCAAAAAGTAAAAAGCAGCTAGTTGAAGAATTTGACACGAAATTTCCCTTCTCTAAATATTTGTTTGAAGTTGCCAGAAGCGGCTTAAAAATATTCACCTGCATGTGTTTGGATCCAAAAATCTGCCCTTGGGGCACGTAATCCTGTTCGGGCAGAGGCACTTGCAAGAGTCCACGCTCCACTCCATTGGCGCCGGACACGTCTTTTGCCGAATAGGACACACGCATTTGCAGCCTTGCGGGTCATACACCTGACCCGGGGCGCAGTCTTCAGCCTTAATCTTAATTGGGAGATATTTTTTTGTTAATTTAAAAAAAAAACGAAAGTAGTTATTTTTTCCTAGTACCTCACAGTCACATTTACAAGCCTCGTGGTGTTCCAGCCGCACCGACTTGGTTTTCGTCGGCACTCTGCCGACCATGTCAATGTCCATTACCTTTCAATTACCAGGAATCAATCAGAAGGTAAAAGTGAAAATTTCATTGCGCAAATTAGGCTCGGGCGATTTGAATTACAAATTACGCAAGAAAGCCAAAGTTGCTCACCTTCCAGACGACGGTCGAGATGTTGGCCGGCACGCACGCTAGGCGGAGGCTGCAGAAGCCGGCGCACCGTTTCACAAGGGCCACGTCCGGGATGAGGATGTGGCCGGGACGCGGTCGCGCCGGCAGCGGAACGACCACTTCGCGCGGCACACACTCCACTTTGCATGTTCTCCCTGATTGCGATTCTACTTTTAATACTTTACAACAAAAATAGAAATGTTTTTGTTTTGTAATTTTGAAGTGTGTTCAAGTTCCATGAATAGGCATATTATTTTTATGGGATATTTTAATTATTTGGCTCATATTGAATTTTTAAAAATTCTATGATTCATTAAAAATAAATTTTGCATGCAAGAACGACAAAGAAAACAAAAACTAGATTGAGAAAGACTTAGAAATCGTTGAAATATTTTTTTTCCATTAAACGTGAAATTGTAATAGGAGTTACAATTTGAAAAAAATTTAGGTCATTCCGTTAAATATATTGACATAAAATTTAAGGAATAAATTTGCTTAACTGTAATCAAAACTATTTTTTGTTCAAAAATGTTCATGACCATAAATTAAAATTTTTGATCCCATTTAAAAAAAAGTCTGGCTCAAATAACTAGAGTGATTTCCATAATTTAGTTTTTAATTAACTAATGATAAATTTGCCAAGAACTATTAAAATGATCAAACCTTTTGCCGGATGATTGCAGAGCGGCGAGATGAGAGAAGAGACAGCCTGGAGGCCCATGAGGGCCCCCAACAGGCCCCAGAGGGCCTTCATGTGCTCACTCGGCCACCGTCTCAGCCAGACTGGCTCTTTGAGCCTCTCTCGCGCAAAATAATAATAAACACGGCAGCTGTCGAAAAAAGCGCCAGCGGCGTCATTTGATTATGTTTCTTGGCTTTCCGTGAATCCGCGTGTGTGCTTTCGGCCTAGAGTATGCGTGCTCTTTTTCGTTTGTAAACTTGATGCATTCTCCAACACCCTCGGAGCGCCGCCCCATTTGTCCTCTGTGACATCACACGAGATCTGTTCTTTCTGCTCCCGGAACGGCACCTTTGCCGTTGCTGCGGCGCCGATCTATTTATTATTTCAAGATTTCACGACGCGGCAAACGCGGATTCGGTTTCCACTTACGGAAAGAGGATCGTCTCTTTTGCAATTCGCCGGCACACACGTATACACTCACTTGTACACCGGCTCTTGACTGTCGGAATCGAGGACGACAGACGGTTTAATTAATTATTCATGTGTCTGGCTTTCCTTTTATCTTTCCTTTTTACGTGCATAATTTTGCAATTTAACAAAAAAAGAAAAAAAAATGCCTCAACAATAACACGTTTTGTAATATCTTACCTCAAGCAAAATTCATCAATTAGATGCAGCACCTGAATTAAAATAATTATTACATTTTAAATTTTTCGGCTTCTTTGATGATTTTAGAAACTTAATTATAAATAATAAATAAGATTATGATTTGTGATGAAAGATTGCTCTATACAAAGATTGAATACAGTGAGCGGAATTTTAATGGAAGTGACCGCTCACAGAAATATATAGGGGGTGAAACCGCCCCTGTCTCTCCACCACAATACGTGTCAGATAAACTCGACTCAAAAGCGCTGGGCATTTTTGCATTTCGCAGACAAACACACACGCGATGAACGCGCGACTTGTGCACAGAGATATATGAAAACTAAATGGAAAATTTTTGTGTCATGAGGCGCTTGACAAAATGCGGCATTAGCAACGCAAATTTATGCGCGCCGCTGCCCGGGAGGATCAAAAAATGAATGGGAGAGAGAAGAAAGAACGCGCGAGCGGATCATGCAAGTATGCAAAATCACTTTTCAAGAATGTGTATCGCATGCTTCTCGAGTGTATAAAATAAAAGTGAGGATAAATATATGTATAAAATACGCCGCGTATGCCAGCTGAGTGAGAATTGAGAGCAGTTATGTGGAGTCACGGCATGGCTCCCAAATACACACACTCGACTATATGTTGCAAGCTTGTCAAAAATGAAATTAATTGCTCACTCGGGTGGTCCTGCCTCCAAAATCGGGCTGCGGTTGGCAAGGAGTTCAGAGCTTTAAAAGGTGAATTAAAAGTAAAACTTATTTTTCACCTCAAATTATTAAAAAATATTAATAGTAAATAATTTAGGAGTTTTAGTCAGCAGAATGGTATTTTTTTCTTTTTAAACTCCTAAATCATGGTAAAATGTATTTCTATTAAATAAACTTTGCATTTAAATTACATACGGAATATTAAATTATTCCATTCAATTTTATCTTTAATTAAAAAAAATGCAATAAATTTACAAAATAAATCACATAACTAGTCCCCCTGACCAAACTTGGTTCTCAAAGGCTGAATGAGAAAATTTACATCAAGACACTGTCGACTTCTGAGAATTGACGCCGAGTGTGACAGTTGAAGGGCACAGTCTGGATGGGCAGAGCCAGGCAACGAATGGCACTCTCGGTCAAGGATTTCTGCCAATCGAACCAAAAGGTCTATGAAGCCGAAAATCAGAGCCGCTTTCCTCACTCGGTTCAACTCCTAGAAATAAATTTTTGTTAATTAGTGAATCATAATAAGAATGAGGCTAAATTTTACTTTGTAGAATTGTTGAGTTTTGTCTGGCAATTTCTTGGCGTGGCGCAGGATCTTTTGAATGTCTGATTGCAGCCCAGCATGTCGGATCCAGCTGACATGGTTTTGGGCATAGCTTCTTTTCTCAACAGGCTTCACAGGAAGTCCTTCACTCTGCTCACTGCCCTTCAACACTCCTAAACAATCCAGACGACCCAACCAAGGAATGACATCCAGACCTGAGAAAAATATTATAACTTGTCAGTTCCTTATGACTGTCATTTAAAAAATTTACCTGGGTTAAAAATGCTGAGCATTATGTTTGATTTCTTCTTAGTGTCTGCCCACGAGTAGATAATCCCATACCACGATTCTCCAAGAATGCAGAGAGCTACCATATTTTCAACCTATTTAAATCAAAACTTATGAAACCCATTTTTCGTAAAGAAGTTGCCAAGAAACCTTCAAAGCTCCATGCAGTAAAACACAAAATGAGGCCATGCGTCCTTCGTCTTGTGATGAATTCTCATCATCCGAATCATTCAGATCTATATTTACACCAACATTCGAAAGGTCTGAAGAAAAACAAAAATTATGAAACTGCTTAAATAAATTACAAACAAACTTCTACCTTTCCCGAATGGTAAAACAAGGTGCCTGGAGAACACCATTGGGCTGCCAATGTCACCAACGTCGAGAAACCCGCAAATCTCAATATTTTGGGAAATCCTTTTTCGGCTTTCAACCTCGCCAGTGGTGCAAAATGGTTGCGGTGTGGGGGACAGAACAATACTGGAAGATAGTTTACCACAGGACAGGGTGCCGTGAAATGAGGTGTACTGAGACTCTGCCAGTCGTTGGAAAAGTGAAGTCACACACTGTTAAAAAAACAAAACAAAAAAGTTGTAATTTTAGTTATAAACTCTGAATTAAAAACACACCTTCACTGATAGGTTCTGATCAGGGGCGTGGACTGATCCTTGGGCCCCGGAAAGTTCAATCAGCCTTTGATACATTGCGATAGACTGTGTGATCCCTGGTTCGTCCGGATTCGCCAGACAGACAACATTCAGGGTGGAAGGGAAGGGAAACGGCAAAGGTGATGACTGGTCTTGAAGAAGACACGCAGACAAACTATTCGGACCCATTCCGACACTTCCATCAGTGACAATCAAAATCTGTTCAATTAAATTAGTTAAATGAATTTTTTTAACAAAGTAATTTTTTTAACCTGGCACTGGGTGCTGTTGCCCCACTCTTCCAGAACCAACGTTGAGACTCCCTGCAGAGCTGTTTTGAGACAAGTTTTGTCGTATTCCTCAAGGTTGTTCAGTTTCGAACGGACAAGATCAAAGTCTCTTGTGAACGGACACACGACGTCGTATAGGGAAGAAAATGCTATCTGCAAGTTGGAGACAAAACTTTAGAATTTATTCTCTTTTATAAAAATGTGAAGAAAAAAATGTTACCACAGCAACAAACTCCAGTCTGGAGTTGACGTGCAGGTGATTGAGAAGACTGCTGATGCCTTGGACAGCGAGTTGTCGCCGAGTGATGGACTCTGATGAAGAGTCAGGCAAGTTAACTGGCCTGGACATCGAAAGCGAAACATCGATCACCACCACGGTCGGCATTTTGTGTGCTTCGGCGAATCAAAATGCAAAAATCATATGAACTGGAAAACAAATTGCAAAAAAGTGATAAAATTTAAAAAACAATTGTGACTTTTCTCTTACGACGGTGCTTGGGAAATATTCAGAGGCTTATTCTGGATTCGATTCTGCAGTTATAATAGGCGTGAAACTTGATTTAAAAGCCGAATTTTAATTGATCCGGCAAAAATCGACTGAATTATGTTTGTATTATTTTTGTTTGTTGATATTTGACATTCAGAAATTTTCCACTGGCCAATCAGCGATCAGGAGACATGAAGTTAGTTCCGCTGTCTGCCAGCAGATGGCGTGTGAGGTCAGTAACCCGAGAGAAAATTTGCGTCTGCGCTCTTCTCGAGCAATGGCGACGGCCAGTGGCAGGAGACAAGTATGGCCGATGTGACGGCTTTTTGTTTCTCAAAATTCGCGTTTTGCTGGGAATCTAGCTAAGTTTAGTAGTTTTCGTCCCGTTCACCATTGCAGCCCGAAATCCAGACTGTTAGATTTCTCGGCGAAAGTCGAATTTCCTCGGCTGCGGTCTGTTGGGCGTCGCATCCAGCACCTTCCGAGACCGAGGCCAAATTCCACCCTGGTGAGCTGGGTTGTTTGAGGCATTTCCAACGCCTAGCAACATATTTTCACCCGACCTGAATGCCTTCGATTGACCCTCATTGATTCGTGATAAAATTCAGTCATTGGCCAATTATTTTCTTCACAATTTGGTTAAATAATTCGGCCTTGATTCCCGATTGTTTATTGATATGCTATCGACTGATTTGTCCTACATTCTAAACCTTCCATAAATATTTTCTAATTTATTTCATCATTTGTCTAGTTTTTTATTCAGTTTTACTCTAATTCCAGGTGGAGGTCGCCATCGAGTAGTTTTATGTGGATAAAATAAAGCTGATGTTTCACTTTGTATGGTACGTAAGCAGAGGTTATCATATAATAATGGCTTACACAAGCTTTTTACTTTTCGCACTTGCAGATGAGAATATAGAAAAGTAGACCGGCCCCGTCATGCATCTGCACGAACCGATCAAATCGGCTATTTGGAACTGCCTGAACAACTACGACTATGAGAACGCCACTTTCCTTGCCGAACGCCTGTGTGCTCAGGTGCAGAGCAACAATGGCGAGGCGCAGTACCTGCTGGCAACCTGCTACTACCGCGCGGGCAAACAAGTGCAGGCATGTGATGTGCTGAGGAAGAGCAGCGACTCGGCCGAGAGCAAACTTTTGCTTGCCAAGTGCTACATGGATCTGAAAAAAGTGAAGCAGGCGGAAAACACATTATTCGATGGATACTTGTGGCTTTTAAAACCGGTCTACGACCAGTTGGAGGAAATCGAACGCACCTTTGGAGACCTGGCGTGCTTCGCCCTCCAACTTTTGGGGAAAATCTACCAGGAGACGCAGCGGTTAGCCCAGGCCAAGGAGGCCTTCCGCTACTGTCTGCGGCTCAACCCATTCCTCTTTGCAGCCTATCAGAGTTTGTGTGACCTCGGAGCCAAGCCGGACGCCAATGAGTTCTTCCAGCTGAAGCCCAACCACAAGTTGTCTGCCCTGACAGGTTCGAGTGGCAGCAACTCTGTGTTTGACTCCAACCTGGGCAAGGAGCAGCCACCAGCCGCCTTTATTTATCCTCAGAAATTGTCCTTCGGCTCAGAATCGTCAACGGAGAGCAACCCCAAGTCGTCCGGCCTGTCCATCATTACTAGAAGTAGGTTCGCAAGACTGACTAGAGGCCAAGACTTACTCGGCTCGGGCCAGAACAGTTTCGGAAGGCCGGACTCGTCGCCGGACTCCATAGCTTCGCAGAATTCAACACCAGATGAATCACCAGTGATCACGCCAACTATGTTCGGTGGCACCAACATCGGGCACCTGCCGTCGGCGCCCTCTAAAAAATTTAAAACTAGGAGGGATCATGATTCGCCTCTTCAACAATCAAAGCCTTTCGTGATAAATCAAGTAAGTTTTTTTTTTTGTTACACAAGAATAACCAAATATTGAAATATTTTAATAAACTAGGGAAAAATTTGTTCCAGGTATTGTTAAATTCAATATTGAATCCAAAAATATAAATATATCCACAAATAACATTTCTCGATAATTATAATATTTCCAAAACTTATTTTATTAGATTCAGATTTAATTTGAACTGAAAATTGTCAACAATGAAGAAATTAAGAATGTAAACTTATTGTTTCGTAGATTTAAAATATTATTTTAACCAGCATTTTTGTCAGCCTTTTTTACATTAAAAGAAATGTTGGAAGTAATTTATTTTTACTGGTTTTACATAGATGACTGTAGTTTATTAGTATTATTTTGTAATTTGAATTAATTATGGCTGATTCCAGGCTAACAACTCGGCAACTTCCTCGCTGGGAACGTCAGCGTTGACCCTGACGCCAAGTCCGGGACCCAGTACCTCCAACAGTCAGCAAAGAGTGAGAAGAAGCACCCGTCTCTACACAAACAGCAACGGCTCCGTAAAAGAAAACGAAAAGAGCCACTCCACAAGTACGAAGAAAACCGCAACCCCCAAATCTCCGCGCTCCGGCCGAAAAAGCAGCTCAACAAAAACTCCCTCAGCCAAGTCAACAACCACAGAAATGAATGAGAAAAATCTGATCGAGTCGTACAACGTGGCGGCCGAACTGTCCTTGGTGCACAGTCACAGCATTAAAGAGTTCCTCGACATCTTAAAACAGATTGGGCAGGCCTATCTGTGCCTCTCGCGTTACGAGTGCAAAAAGAGCATCGACATTCTGGACAAGCTGCCCGAGAAGCACTACAAGACGGGCTGGGTGTTGTGCGCCAAGGGCAAGGCTTATTACGAGTTGTCCGACTACAAAACGGCTGTGAAGATTTACGAGGAGTGCCGCGAGTTGGAACCGTCGCGGCTTCAGGGCATGGAAGTTCTAAGTACAGCATATTGGTACCTAGAACATGAGGTAGGCTAAACAGTTAATAGTAAATTTCTATTTTGAATTTCTTAAAACTGGCTAAATGAGTTGTTTATTTGATCAAGTGAAAGCTTTGTCGAGTTGAACTATTGCATAAGTCCTTCCCCTAAAAGATTCTGCCGCAGTATTTATGAAACATTACCAGGGATTTTCAACTCTTGGAAACAAATTAAAGCTGAAAACAGTCATGTTGCTCTCTATAAATATAAATTTCTCTTGTAATTTTAATATTTAATATTATAATATTTATTTCAAAATTTCCTTGTGTTTTTCAGGTCGCCTTATCAGCTCTCTGCCATGAAATGCAAGAAATCAACCGCAACAGTGTGGAAACATGTCTGGCGCTGGGCAACTGCTTCAGTCAGCAGCGGGAACACGACACGGCCATCAAGTTCTTCAAGCGCGCTGTCCAACTCAATGACAAGTGCGCCTACGCCTTCACCCTCCTTGGCCATGAGCATGTCCAGACGGAAGAGCTCGAGTGGGGCCTCACCTGCTTCCGAACCGCCATCCGTCTCGACTCGAGGCATTACAACGCATGGCTAGGCCTCGGCTCCATATACTACAAGCAGGAGCGCTACCAGCTGGCTGACCTGCACTTCAAGATGGCTTACAAAATCAACCCTCACAGTTCGGTTGTGATGAATTTCGTGGCCGTCTCTCTGCAAGCGCTCAAAAAGTCGGACGAGGCCATGAAAATCCTCAACAAGGCCATCAGATCCAATCCGGAAAATCCAATTTGTAAATTCAACCGGGCCAAGATTTTGTTTGCTAATGAAAAGTACGAGGAGGCGCTCAGGGAGCTTGAAGAACTGAAAGAACTGGTGCCTAAGGAAGCTCAGGTAAATGAATTGGAATTGAATTCTGAATCTTGTTCTAATATTAATTTTTCTTCAGGTATACTTCCTGACTGGGAAGGTCCATGCAAAGCTGGGCAACACCCACTTGGAACTGATGCACTTCTCCTGGATGATGGACCTTGATCCCAAGGGGGCCAACTCGCAGATTAAAGAGGCCCTTGACCCCGCCCTGAATCGCACTGTGGCGTCTGTGGCCAGTCAGAGCAGCGGCCTTTTGGAGCCGACGGACACGGCCATGGCCACAGACGCGCCGCCGTCGGACTCGTTGCAGGAGGCAGCCGGATTAGGGAACGCCATGAACATGGACGACCACCTGCACGAGTCCAGTGATGATAGCCTTTGAATGTCTAGACGTGCCAACAGTACTGATTTCAATGAGGAATTGCTCTTACATGAGTTTGAATGGATGAAAGGTCTGCTTGTGAATTTTCATCTACTTGCATTACAGCTGACTGATTACCAGCACTACGGTTAATGTTTATTTATGATCGGTTATTATAATTAAAAAAAAATAAGAGTGGAAATTTGCTACGAATTGATTTAGTTGTCTTGGAAGATATTTTGTGAGCAACGTGTAGATACGATTCTAAGATATAATTAAAAGGATTTAAAGTATCGTCCATAAATATTTTTTGTCTCTTATTGTTAGAAAAATCTCCAAAAATCAATTTGAAATGTCACCAGTGAGAAATTTTGCATGGAGACGGTAATTTAAATAGACTCTGTCAAGTGACAAACCCAGCCAGTGTGTTGCACATTAAAATTGACTCCCTGCAGTTTTGCTTTTATGGCTGGCCATCATGGCAAGGAACACGCCTACAAATCATAAGACGCCCTCATAAATTTTATCTCTTTACGCAAGATGCTATCTACCTTATTTTGTGTTGCTCCTGCCAGTCTTGTCAGCTTGGAAGTTTCCAGCTGTCTTGACTTGATTAGTAGCCATGGCGATAAATTGAGACTTGAATGTTCAGTTTTGTCTCCCAACTTTCATCTCCATTGAATCAGGCTGTATAATTATTTAATATAGTCTTTTTTTAATATTTTTTTTATAATTAAAGTTTAATTAAAAATCAAAATAGTGGAGGAGCAAATACGCAGCAATTATCGCTTTTTGACGCATGCTGCAAAACCAGCAGCCGGGATAGGGTTTCATTCTCCTATTGCTGCCCGTGTGCTGCAACGCGGTTTTTGACTTTTGATCCACGTCGGGACCAATTCTATGGATTTGACGCCAATGGGGACTGCATCATTCCCGAATAGAGAGACAATGGAGCACAAAACGAAAGCACAGCTGTTTTGAAAGGTAAATGGACGTGCGCCAGAGATGCTGCAGAAGGGTCCATTGTGTTTTGATTTTATTACTGGCACCAGTTTAAAGGGATGCTGCCAAGAACGCGACAGAGGTCTCGACCAAACCTGCTACGTGTAAATGGCAAGCGTAAATAATTTATATTTTATTGTATTATTCAAATATCATCTTGCACTTCTCATCCCTCAAAAAATATGATTTTACAATGACTTGCGGAAATCTATAGATCTGTTTGAATTCCTCCTGCAAGATGTGAAACTACAATTAAACACAATACAGCTACCGCCCGCTTTAACCCCGATCGCCTACAAATTAGATATGCCCGCGCGCGGTACAAAAGAATCAAGTAACTTTTGGTACTTTGTATATTATCGACTGCTCATTACCTTCCTATAAGCCAGGAGCGGATTTTATTATTTGTATTCAGCAATTTGTGTTCAATTCACACCCGGCATAAAGGGTTAATCATGAAATCTCTTGTGTGCGCTGCTTTTCACGCTCCGATGTGTTCGGTTCGCCGCCACAATGAAAATATTACGGTTGTAATAATTTAGTTTATTTCTCATATCAAATGGCGCGTCTTGAGTTTCTTTTTTTGCTCATAATAAGAGAGGCGTCCAGACGTTAAGCGGCCAATAAATAATTTTCGCTCATGTTCTGTCATCTCTGCAAAACACTTTATGCACGCTTGCTGAATAAATTGTAATAAATAGGTTTGTTGCCCTTTTATGAAATATAATATAGTATTTGGTGTAATGCAAGTGAAAGAAATGATTTTTTTTTAGTAATTTTAACTTTTAAACTGCTATGCCTTCCAATATATTAAAAAGGTGTTCCGCTTAATAACAAACTTTTTACATAAAATATGTTGTATATTTATAAAATCTTTGAAATTTGAATCAAAAATTTAGTGCGCTGTTTGGTGAAGGCTGGAAGTTTCCTGATTGAAGTTTTCAGAGACGGCAGCCCCGACCTGATTATAGGGTACTCGCGCCGCACCACGTATATATAATTTTATATTCCCGCGACCAACAATAAGCGTGGTTATATTTTCCGTGCGATTCTCTGATCTCTTCCCCCGACAGGATGCCTAACAAGTCAATTATCCGTCGGTCGGTTCGGCCAACACCTCTCTCCGTCCGTAGTGTGATGTCTCAATCATCTCCCCGGTGCGTGATCCACCAATCTCACGTCTCCCCGCGGAATAAAACAACAACTTTTTTTATTAACTACTTCATCATTACGGACCGGCAAGAGCCGGCGAGGAAAGCATCACGCTGCCCCGTAATAACTAACCAGCAACCCATCGACCAGCAGAGAGACCAAAGAGTTTGAGGTTTCTCTCAAGAGAGCCTTGGTGGTTTTCGAGCCCCTCTATTGCCCCTAAAATAGATTAATTTTATTATTACTGCGCGTATTTTACCAACCAGAGAGAATGTAAGCATAAATTCCAGTGCATGCCATGGAACACAAAAAATTATGAGAGAAGCAATTTTGCTTACAATTGGTGATATAAAATCATATAATTATGGTTTAGTTATTCTTTCGTTTGATTTTTAATTTTCCATGTTTAATTTAAGTAATTTTATTAGTTTTGAAAATAAAGAAACTTTCATTATTAAACAAAACCAATTTACAATACGCAAAATATAAGAAAAGACGTTATAAATAATTTTAATTTTTATTACTGCTTATTCTAATTTGGTTGGTATTTGGTATAATTTCAAAGAGAAAATAACAGTAAAAAAATTATTAATTGATTTTTTTTACACATCTGCAATTCAATTTCGTGAAAAGAATTTTCTTTTGTAAAATTTCCAATTGCATTATTTTTATGTAAAAATTCTTTTTTCTATTTATTTTCAGCATTGCATTGTGCAAAAATTATTGACTCCATGTATTTTGCGGCCATATATTCGTAGTATGTTATGCTATTATGCACTTAATTTTTAAATTATTTGAAAGAACAAATTCTACATCATTCTCCATTGACTCTTTTTAAAGTGCAACAAAAACTTCAATTATAAATTATATTGCGAATTGATTGACGTACGAAGTTGAAAGGTAAATGAATAAAGGTCCGTTGCAAACATTCACTAGCCCAGATACGCTTGTAATCGATTATGTGGTGAGGCAAAGAAATGAAAAAGAGTCCGATGCTATCTTGAATAGCTTAAGCGATGATCAATGCTGATTACATCGCACTTTTTCTTGGCCCGGCACTCACGTTTCACTATATTAAAGCCAATTCCGAGAAATATGCCGGCGCGCGCTCTTTGTTGCCAGAGCTATCAACAGAGTCCGGCTTTTATTTGTATATTTTTTGCAACAAGTTCATTTGAAAAAATTCACTTCTTGTCAGTCGCGGCGGCCTCTCTTAATTAGACAGATCTTGAGCGGCCAAGAAAAATCATCCGAGGGAGAGATTAGGAATTTATCAGCGGCGCGCTGGGCAGGGTCACTTTCTCAACTTGACCAAATTTACGGCGCACTTGTTTTCCCAGGGTATATATACTTTTGGCTGACACCTGAGCACCTCCCTCCGCCTGCGTGAGTGGCGCATGATATTTCAATCCTAACAAACCTGTTATTCAAAAATCATGTCCGAGGTGGTTCTCCGCTTTGCCTTCGCGCGGCTGGCGGCCCTACTGAGGTGCTGCCTGGGAATGAAGAGTGCCCGCAACAACCGGTTCCAGCCCGGGAATCTCATTATGTTTTGATCCTCCCCAAGATGTTCTTATTTCGTTACATCCTCGTTGCTTATATTGAGCTCAAAATTGCATTTATAATGTGTTTTTTTTTCTCAGTGAGTGCGTTTGAACTTTTAATATTTTTTACAATGAAAAAATAAACAAATATGAGGCTTATTGTGATTTGTATTTTACGGTCAATTTATTGGAATTGATTTTAATATTTATGCTACTTTTTTGATGATAATAAACTCCAGATAAATGAGAAAGTGGCACGTCAAATTAATTCTGCAATTCAGGCTTATTTTAGGTGAAAACTTTAATATCTTTCCAGTTGATCATTGATCTTCATATTCATAGAGGGTGACAAAAATCTTACTTTTGAGAGAAAATTTTCATAAAAAAATATGCTTTTTATGTGTGAATTAAAGCCATATTATATGAGCAGATAATACGCGCAGAACTATTCACTAAAATCATAGTTATAATTTGATGTGGCGACGGGGCGGTGCTTGTGTGGAATTGGTTTTCGCATTCCAAAAGTAGATAACACACAATAAGTTTAGTCATTTTTCTCTCTCACCTTCGCCACGTTTGATCTTTTCTATTTCAATTCCTGGCTGGCTCTGTTGCATTGCATATACCGACAGGCTTCTTTCTGCTTCTGCTCCCCGGCCTACCTTTCTGTGATATGAATTTTTTGCAATTTCTGCATTCCGGCCGCCTGGCAGGCGCCACATATTAAAGCCCATGCAGCAGAGAGACAGAGAAAAGCACGCGCGGACACGAATCGGACTGTGCAGACTGGTTTTGAACAAATCGACAGAGCAATCGATCATAGGAAGTCCATCTCTCTGCTCTGAATAAAAACACCGTGCGGAAATCCGACTTGCAAGAACTCTACAAGTGAGGCTAGGTAATTTTCATAGAACTGAGATGATTAGCACGTTCTATACAAACAGTTAAGGAACAAGAACGCAAATTTTCCAAATTTTATTCTTTCAATTTTTTTATGAGTATTTCAGTTATTTTTTTTTTTTATTTTAATTAAAATGATATACACGTTATGAGGATTGAGGAGAGAAAATCTGTTGAAATATTAACTGAAATTTAGATTTAAGAAAGTTAAGAAATATACAATATTAATTGGATTGTAAAAATTTCAGGATTCGTTAATTTGGAGATGGGAGACGAAAGCACGTGGCATCGGACTGGTGACAGATCTCAAGACGAACTTGCTTTGTACACCGAAAGCTACTTCTACGATTGCTCGTTCCTGGTGGGCGAAATAGATAAAAAGGTACAATTATCCTACTCGCCTTTTATTGGTATGTAATAAAACAAATTTACGTGCTTAGTTTTAAGTAAAAAATTCACACAAAGGAAATTTTATAACACTATTATGATACAAATTTTTATAATTAATTTTTTTCTCTTATTTATAGTTGTTCAAATGTCACAAATTGATTCTTGCGAAAGCGAGCAAAGTGTTTGCTGCGTTGCTGTTTGGAAATTTTGAAGAATCATTCAAAGGGAAGGATGATCCCATTCACATTCTGGATGTATCACCCAACACATTTGATCTGGCCATGAAGTATAAAAGAAAAATTTAATTTTTCCATTAAAAAAGTTATCCGCTTTTATAGATTTGTTTACGGCAAAAATGAAAATTTTGCGGACATTCACCAAGCAATTGATGTGTACAAATTTGCTCACAAATGGATGATGTGTGGTGTCATGAAAGCTGCAGAAGATGTGATGGAAAAATGTGGTCCAGAGGAGGCACTGCCAGTCTACGAGTGCTTCAAAATGCTAAGCACCTCACAACTGGAATTCCCATTGGCCGTAAAAGCCTTTATTCATCTCCAATTTATTTTGAAAAATTATGCATTTTTTATATCAAAAGGTGATGGAGGAACAAACTAAGGCAGTCATTGGCTCCTTGTCTTGGCTGGAAGCTTCGAAGCAGACCGTCATTGATGTTCTTCAGTTGGACCACCTGAATATCAGTTCAGAGTTGGAGCTCTTCGATGCCATTGTTAAGTGGGGAAAAGCACAAGTTACAAATAATGAGCAAATCAGACATTTGATAGACGAGCCATTGAAATTGATTCGTTTCCGCAACTTGGAGCCTTCCCAGTTTGCTTCATTGTGCGAGAAAAATGCAGATGTGCTGACAGATGGTGAAAAACTTAAGATTTTCATGAGCATTGATACTGGCAGAGACCACCACTTGCCAGATGGCTTCAGCAAATTGTTGATTTTTCGAAATCTTGACTCGCAGCCCCTCAGATCCAATTTCGGCCAGCAGAGTATAATGTCTGATGTTTCCTTGAACAGCAAATCGAACTCGTCGGTGCTAAAATTTCAGACGCCTTGCGAAGGCTTTGTGTTAACAGGCATTCAGCTCCAAAGCCTTTCAGCCATAAATATAGGGAAGAAACTGCAAATCTCCTGCAGTGTGTCCAGTGCTTTGTCTCCCAACAGAATTCTCGCCTATGCAGACTTTGATGGCAAGATCAAGGCAAATACGAATGATTTTCTCTCCTTCTCAGAGCATGTCCTGATTAAGAAAGATATCAGCTACAGTGTCGCAGTTATCTACCTCCAGGAAGAAACTGTTGTGTCAAAGCAATACAAGTACGGATCGCAGCTTATCTGGAACAACGAATTCATTGGAGTCTTTCCCAAGACTGAAAATACTCACAACGATATTCAAGCCTTAGTGTTCTCAGCAAAAGCTTTATAAATTTTTTTAATACAGAAAATTTTATGAAATAGTGCATTTCTGATTTTTTTAAATGCAATATTTATAGCATGTCTGTAACTATTCCTATTTACCAAATTATATTTTAATTGTGCAGTGTAGTGATTCACTTAATTTGAATGATAGGAATTTTTGAATATAAAATGTGAATATATAAGTATTAAATTAACATTTTTGCAAAGACAGAAACTACAAAAATTAATTATGAATTTTTACTGTCAGGTATAGAGTTGAAAAACTAAGCTTAACATTATCTAATATTTCTCCTCTTTATAAATAAAAATTGCATATACATTTCCTACAAATATGTTGTATTTATTGATAATAGAGTATTGGTTTGAATGGTTTGTCTCAATCATCAAACAAAATAATTAAAATTCTGAAAAATGGTTAAGTTAAAGTAATAACAAACACACTTGAGACACAAAAACCAATTTTAATTCGTAAATGAAAGGAGCAGAAGCAGATTTGATTAAGAAAAATAATACTTATTTAGTGTCACATTTGAACGAGCAAATGAGAAAAAGTTTAAATATATGAATAAATATAATATTTTCCAATACTGCAAGATTCAAACAATTATGTTTCATTTTTTCTGCTAATCGAAAATTTAATTGGAATTATTTCAGTGTGTAAACCATATTTTTTTGATGAGATTCATATTTGGCACTCTCTCATTTTAAAAACTAACAGAGAAAAAGACCTGCGAAAAAGCAAGCACCTCACTCGTCAAATTACAGTCTCATTACAAAACGTACCCACACAAACAACAAGAAACTCATTAAATTTGTAGCTCCACACGTGCGCGCGGCGAATGCAAAAATGCCAACGGAGCGTATATGAACACACATTTCATTCGTTCTCCCACGCGCACCAACTCTCCATATATATGGTCCACAACAGAAATGTATACCTCGCGTTTTCCGCATTTGTATATCAGGGCGGAATTTTTGCTTTCGTCCGCCGCTAATAATTAATGAGATAAAATGGAACACGCACAACTTTTAATTTGCACCAAATTGTCTGATGCTCTTGATTAAAAGTGTGGTGCATTTCGGCTCAGGTCGGCCGACTAATTCTTCTCCCCTCGTCTCGAGGGAGAACAAAAAGTTGGCGTGGTGTGAAAAGGGGCCGACTGCATTTCAGCCCTTAGTCTTGAGTAATAGCCAAAACGGGACGCACTGCAGTGTTTTTCAGATAATAATATCTCAATTGATCTCAATAAAAATTTTCATTGAGGAATTTTTGAATAGAATAATAATAATAAAGAGGGCAGGAAAATTTTGTCAGAGGTTATTGGAATTTTTGGTTAACCCCAGCAGGCGCCCACGGCCATAAAACAATGAAAATTATCTCCAGCTCGGTCATGGATCACTTAGGCGGCGAATCGCCATTTCGGTTTTATGCAAATGGCAAAAAGGACAGGGCACATATGCAAATGCAAAAGGGAAGCATTTTGCCGAGGGTCCCCAGGGACCCGTATTTGGCAAGCGCCTCCGCAGTAAAAGTTTCAACTTTCTTCCGCCATAAGACTTAATTTAATGGCACTCTTGGTGGCAGTTTCTGCACCGTCCTTAATGCCCCGGAGCCCAACTCTACGCGCACCTGCAGTTTGGCCCAGCGAGTAATGACAGTTGTAAACACGCCGTAATGAAAGCATCATGTGCACGCTAATTACGGTAGCAACCCCATTCGCATACCTTTTGACTCTTTTGTTTTAAGCGGGACGAAAAATACTTTTGAAAGTTTTCACTTAGAATGATCGAGCTAACAAGGCATGAAAAATCTGTTTGGAGAAGAATTATGCTTTTGAGACTACTTCATACATTGGTGCGCATCTTTTTTAAACTCTTAGGGCACCCCAGAGAAGCAAAAAATTTGCCATGAATATATGAAAAATTGAATAAGCAACTAATATAAGGGTATTAAATATTAAATTTGGTGGAATTTTTGTACGGAAGTTTTTCTAGATAATACTTATATATTAAACACAATAAAAATCTTTTTTGGTAAATTAATTGTAAAGAGACTTAGTCTTGTGACATCAAAAATATCAAAATTAATTAAATGTGAAATAAGGGTTTAAGTTTTTGAGATATTTAAAAATAAATATTAAATTTTAGATTTATCAAAAAAAAAACTTTGAAATATCTTCAACAGCAAATTTATATATAATTATATGTTATCAGTAAACAGTGAGAACTGACAGAGCATGTCGTGCTTTATGTCGTTATTTCATATTATTTTTACTGGGCATGAGGGATGGCGTGTTTGGAGCCAATATAGAGCAAAATCCCCGCCATTCTCATCGGATCAGTGAAAAAGCATCCCTCTACAGATAAGGACAGCCTGTTGAGTTATTTGCCATCTGCATACTGCCACTGAGCCCACATCCCTGGCTGTGGCCATTTTTTCCTACTTGCATCCAGAAATGCCCGAGGATTAGGCCGAGATTTATTGCCAGACGCTCGCCTGATAAAGCGCCACTCGAATAAATCGCGAACATGAGCCTTGTCTTTGCAATGCACAGGCCGTAGATTCTAGTCTCGTTCCACAATGAAAAGGACAAATAGTAAAATGAGATGGAGGAGTATATTTTTGAAATATTATGTCCGTAATTACATATTTTTTTTCATCAATTTTTAAAAACATTTGAATTCAAATTGCGAAAATTTAGCAAGTGGTTATCTAGAGCTGGTGCCAACTCTTAATTAATTTTGTTCAATTTTTATAGTTTTATTTTACTTCTGAAATGCTGAGGGAGAATAAACGAATGGAATTGTCTCATCAATTGATTTATTTTAGTCTTAAGGAGTTGCAAGTTACATTCTTTTCCATCAAGCGATATGTATAATTACAGTGTTTGGACGAGAGATGTGCCTGTGAGTGCGTGTAGGTACCACTTTATTAAGATGTGTTTTCGCGGCCACACCTTGGGTAGTGCAACCTGACCGAGAGATACCGATCAGAGTGGCGCTGAGGGCTAATTAATAAAACAACCTCAGCTGAAGGACAGGTAAATGACGAAACCCGAGATGCTGACGATGATAACAATCCTCTTTGGTTTGAAAAATTATCTCGAGTTTTAAAAAGGGCTGCTAAAATAGTACAGTGGCAGCTTAAATAAATATCTCAAGGGATAAAAGCAGTATAGCTTAAAGAGATTTATTTGCAAAATTTGTATTTTTGCAGGTTCTTTATTTTAAAGGAATAAATTAAATTTTTTGTATTCTGCTACAGAATTTGTTCCTTTAATTTAATGAAGTCTTTATGCCACACTTGACGGATTTTCTTTTACATTTTCTCTAATTTTATTGTAAAAGTTAAAGGTTAATTGGAGAATTCAGAGAATAAAGAATAATTTATTTTAGTGCTCCAAACAAGTGTAAAAAATGTTTAGCAAGAACAAAAATCGCGCAGTGCTTTTATTTTAAATTTAGTTAAATCGTATTAGTTGGGATATTATCATTATTGCTTTAATATTTCAATTATGAGAATTTTGGATGTTTGATGGGTGCTGCAATTCTTCTTAAAATAGTAAAAGTTGCAGAGAGATAGATTATTTTATTAATTTCCAAGACTTTTGTCATATCGCAGCCTTCAGAAAATCATCCAAATTCCATCGTGACAGTGGCATTGCTAACAGACTCGTTTAATTTGCAAAAAAGTGCGCCCGCGACAGCCGCTTTCTGAGTGAGTAGACGATGTGTCAGGATTAATGCTGCTCTGCCTAATCCGCGATAGCTGCCTTCTCTTGAGAAAGAAGCTCGCCGGGCTGTGTGTTTGTTGAATTTCGTGTCTACACACCACGGTGGCTTGTCAAATTTAATTACAATTGCCTTCTATTTAATCCCGCGAGAATCTTGTCTGCTCTCATGCCTAGCCGCCCTGCTGAACTTAATGCGAAATAAGCAGTGCAAACTTGAATCTTATTATCTCTGCCTGGACAAAAAAGTAATAGTGTTGTAATCCATTCCCTCTTCTTGTTATAAAAATTTTAAATTCAGATTTCATAGGATCCAATGCAAGTTCAAAAGTCTTTTCGGAGTTTGTCTTATTACACAAAATGTTATATGGAAGCATCTCTAAAAAGATCAATGCATTAATAGTTTTTATTTACTCTGAATTTATTGAAACTATTAATCGAATCTCAGTTATAAAAACTAATCAAGGGACATTACTTATTAGTAATTTTGCCTGGCACTTGTTTAATATTTGCTATAGATATTTATAAATCAATTTTTTGAACTAATGAAAGGTTTTTTCATAATTAACAGTAAAAAAGTGTTTTTCTATAAATTTTAAATTTTTTCTATTTTTTAGTTTAATTTACAAATATAACAGTTTAAATTTTTTTAAATATTATAAAAGTATTTTTATGTATAAATTATATTGAATTTTATTTTAATTATTAAAAAAGTTAATTTTTAAAGCATGTTATTATATCTTTCAAATTTAACTAGTGTTTAGATTATTTAGCTTAATTTCAAATATTTTTTTATGTTTCAAAACTATTTTTTCAATTTTTATAGAACTCATGAACTTAGGTTTTCATGACTGGCTGCAAAATTGTGCGCGTTTATCCGCTATGTGCAATTTTCATTTGACAACCTTTTTTAAATATTTTCTTTATTTTCAAGTATTGATTATTTGTGTTTCAGTGCATTTTTATTAGAATTAAAAAATCATTCCTTCAGGCAGAGCAGAGAGTTCCTTCTTACTAAATCTCAAGACTAATGTAGAGCAGCTCTTGCTGCAAACAGAATTATCTCTATAGAGCTCATCCAAGGCATATTAAATTATCCTTCGCTTTGCTCGCGTCTTGAGAAAAGCGATGACGGCTGCGGAGGCCCCTTTGGCGCTGCAACTGTCAAAATGTAATTACGCCCTGTGTGTGGCTGACTCATGAGAGGCATCAATCACACACACGGCTCCTCATACAAATATATCTTCTCTCTTGAGAGACAGAGACGCCTCTGGCTGAGAAATTGGCAGCCCAAAGTCTCCAATTTCGCACTTTTGACGACTCACGCAGTTTGGCTAATTTGTAATTCACGCAGCCTAGGGGCCTCTGTCTGGCGTGTGAAATTGGGAAAAAAACTACTTTGCCAAATTGTAATTTGATAATTTTTAAGGGCAAGATCAAAAGACTTGTCTTGTCATTATTCACCGAACTCTGGCGTCATTTTGCAAATTGCAACGTCTCGAGCTGCTCTTTTTGCATGCAAACTTTTTTTATCCCTCAAAGACAAAAGGGGAGCTCGCACGAAATCTGCTTTTGGAGAAAAAAAATAATGTTTGTCTCCGAGGCGAAAGTGAAACAAAACCGTAAAGCAGCCGAGACACCCCTGAAAATACGTGCGTTTCCCGCTCGCTTCGCACTCTCGCATCTCCGCCCTGGGAACAAAAGAGATGGAGTCTGTTCTTCGCGCTCAACATCCCTGGAGTGTGTGAAAAGTCGTGAAAAATTTAGCGCC